CCAGTTGCTTTGACCAATGCTGCATCGCCTAGTGGTCAGCTGCTGCTGTTGCTTTGGCGATTCTGACCTCCGTTTCTTCGGTTTTTTTTTTCTTTTTTGTACTACTTAGAAGAAAATTTTATGTTGAGGGAGAAACACGAAACAAATGCTCAGTAGCGGCGAGGAGGGGGAAGAGGGGACGAAAAATTCTTGGAAACTTGTGAAATCGATTCCGATACCCATTAGTTGGCAAGATTTAACGAAGTTGGATAGGGTGGACAAGGGAAATCAGAAGCGAGGAGGGGAGGGAGGGAGGAAACGAAAAAGGGAGGGGAACAGTCACCATAATTCGGTTGATTTCTTCAAGAGCTGAGACGAACACCAGGATCGCAAGCAGCAAACTGACCACCAGGCAGCAAAGCATTGGTCAAAGCAAGTGGAAATTTTGCTAACTGTGCAGTTGGAGAACCACGCTGTGGACCTCAGTTTCTGGCTTACCACAGGCAGACCTTTCCTTGTCTATTCTTTCCACATGATCTTTCAACATGTCATACGAGTTTGTAAGTCACACTAGTCGCCCTACTATCTTTCCCATCATATCATAAATTCGCCTTAGCAAAATAGTTCCCCCCCCCTCCTCTCGCCTCTCCCCTTTATATCTGGAATGTGTAAATGCGACCTGCTACCATGTACAGGTTAGGGCAGGTTACCTGTAATCTGATGTTTTCGTGTAGGTTTAAATTTTCGGACTTCGGCCTTTCCGCTTTTTACTTGCTCTGGAGACAGTCCACTTGCAGACCACGGTTCGGCCTTCTAACGGCTACAAATTATTGTGTTTGGGGAATTTGTGGAGTTATTTCAGGCAATGTTGGCGCAGCGAGTTGGTGGAAGTTTGGCAGGTATGCTTGCGCGTGGTTTTCTGTGGCCAACCAATCTGGCAGCGGTACCTGTTTGTGAGGTGCATCATCACAGAGAGCGTTATAACCTTCACTTGTATCTTGGCATAAAACGCTCCAACAGGCACAAATCGAATCGAAATACGCACATCAATGAGCGACAGTTTGCAAGGGTGAGATTTTTTAAGAGTGTTTTTTGTTCTTTGAAAAAATCCTCGCAGTGATAGAAATAGGAAAAGGTAGATGAGGGCAATGGAGGTCTAACCAAGAAGTGATCATTGCAAATAGGAGGAACGTCAGCGTTGTGTTAGACGAGGGGTGGTAATAAAAACCTCAGTACAAGCGTGTGCCAGTATAAAATAT